GTAAATAATTCACAGGAATCTAAATTCTTCCATGGAATAATTCACAGAAACGTGAATTATTCTGTGAAATAATTCCAATGTTTTGGAGGAAGCTATCCTCCTGCCTCTGCCTCCGTAAGAGCTAGGATTACAGGTGTGAACCACCACACCTGGCCCAACTTGTTTTGGTAAAGCGTGTCAAGATCATTCAATGGAGAAAAAATTGTACAACAAATGGTACTGGGACAAATGAACATCCATATGCAAAAGAATGAAGCTGAATTCTTAATTCATATTATATATAAAAAAACTCAAAATGGATGATCGATCACTTAAATATGAGCTAAAACCATAAAACAAACAAACAAAAAAAAACAAAGAATTAATCTTTGTGACCTTGGATTTGGCAATGGTTTCTTGCTCTGACAACAAAAGCACAAACAACAAATTAAAAATAAGTAAGTTGAACTTCATCAAAATTAAAAATTTTTTGTGCCTCAAAGGGCTCTATCAAGAAAGTGAAAAGACAATCCACAAAATTGAAGAAAATATTTGAAAACCATATATCTGATAAAGGTCAAGTATCCAAAATACATAAAAACCCTTACAACTGAACAAACAAAAGATAAACAGTCTCATTTAAAAACTGGCAAAGAGGCTAGGAACAGTGGCTCATGCCTATAATCCCAGCACTTTGGGAGGCCAAGGCAGGCTTATCACTTGAGGCCAGGAGTTTAAGACCAGCCTGGCCAACACGGTGAAACTCTATCTCTACTAAAAATACAAAAATTAGCTGGGCCATCGTGGTGCATACCTGTAATCCCAGCTGAGGCACGAGAATTGCTTGAACCCAGGAAGCAAAGGCTGCAGTGAGCCAAGATCACACCTCTGCACTCCAGCCTGGGTGACACAATGAGACTCTGTCTCAAAAACAAACAAAGAAAAAATGGCAAAGGTTTAACTAGACATTACTCCAAAAAAGATATACAAACAGCCAGGAAATGTATGAAAAGATGTTCAACATGATTCATTATTAGGAAAATGAAAATCAAAACGACAAGATACTACTTCATGCCCACTAGGCTATAATCTAAAAATTTTAAGTGGAAAATAACAAGTGTTGATGAAGATGCAGAGAAACTGGAACCCTCATATATTGTAGACATGAATTTAAAATGTTGCAATTTCTGTGGAAAACAATTTGGTGCTTCCTCAGAATGTTAAAGAACTATCATATGACCCAACAATTCCACTCTGGTGTACCCAGAATTAAGAACAGGTGTCAAAAACCTGTACACAATTATTTCTAACAGCATTATACACAACAGCCAAACAATGGAAACAACCCACATGTCTATCAACTGATGTATCATTTAAAAAGCCAGGCCTATTCATAAATAGAAAAGCATTCAGCTATAAAAAGGAATGGATTCAGCAGGTCATGGACTCTTTTTTTTTTTTTTTTTTTTTTTTGAGACGGAGTTTCGCTCTTGTTACCCAGGCTGGAGTGCAATGGCGCGATCTCGGCTCACCGCAACCTCCGCCTCCTGGGTTCAGGCAATTCTCCTGCCTCAGCCTCCTGAGTAGCTGGTATTACAGGCACGCACCACCACGCCCAGCTAGTTTTTTGTATTTTTAGTAGAGACGGGGTTTCACCATGTTGACCAGGATGGTCTTGATCTCTCGACCTTGTGATCCACCCACCTCGGCCTTCCAAAGTGCTGGGATTACAGGCTTGAGCCACTGCGCCCGGCCGACTCTTAAAAAATAAAAAAAAGAGAATGGATTCCTGATACATCTTAAAAAATGGAGGAATGTAGAAAACATTAAGCTCAGAAGCCAGTCACAAAAAGTAACACACTGAATCATTCATTAACATGAAATATACAGAATGAAAGTCTATAAAGACAGGAAAGTTTGTGACTATCAGGGACTGGGAGAAGAGGGACATAGAGAGACTGCTATATGAGTATGAGATTTCCTTTTGGGGTGATTAAAAAGTTCTGGAACTAGATAGTACTGATGGTTGCACAACATGGTGAATGTACTGAATGTCACTGGATTGTACAGTTTACTTTAAATTTTTTTTTTAATTAGAGACAGGGTCTTGCTATGTTGCCCAGGCTGGTTTTGAACTGCTGGCCTCAAGCTGTCCTCCCACCTCAGCCTCCCAAAGTGCTGGGATTACAGGTGTGGGCCACCAAGCCTGGCTATACTCTTTAAAATGGTCAAAATGGCAAATCTTATGTGACGTGTATTTTACCAAAATTTTTGAACGACATTTCAGAAAAAAATGCAACTGCATGGGGGAAAAAATGTTGATACTGTTTGCATCTTTCAATCTTTACGTCTATGTTCATGGTTTTTGATTGCTTAAATGTTGCCAGGCTTTCATTTTATCTTAGCTAATACCTTGTACAAAATCACAGCAAGTACGTTTAAAAAAAATTGTTATTGTTATATTATAATTTTATTGTTATAATTAAAAAAAAATTATGTGAACCATAATAAATGGATTTCTGCTTGTGGCATAAAAAAATATATTTAGTCTTTGTCCCAAGTTCCTGAAACTTGTAAAACTCTTGCAATATCCCAAACATTGTCTTCTTTTATTCATAAGCACCTTTTAGTCACACCTGGGTTTATGTTAATGAGACTCTTGGTGGGCCCCTAGATAGCTTCAGGAAGGAGGCTAGTTGCCAGAGGAACCAACCATGTGCTTAGAGGGTTGGAATTTTCAGCCCCATACCCTAACATCTGCAGAGACGAGCTTAAAAATGAGTTATTCACTAATGGCCAGTTACTTAGTCAATGATGGGTATGTAATGGAACCTCCATCAAAACCGTAAATAATGGGGCTCAGAATGCTTCTGGATTGGCCAACACATCCTGTGCTGGGAGAGTAGTGCACCCCAATTCCATGGGAACAAAAGCTCCTGTGCTTGGGACCTCCAGTCCTCACCCCAAGTACTTCATCTGGCCGTTCATTTGTATCTTTGACAACAAATAGGTAATAGTAACGTGTTTCCCTCAGTTCTGTGCCATTTTAGCAAATTACTGAGCTGGAAGAGGGGGGTCATGGGAACCCCCAGTTTGTAGCCATGTCACAAAGAAGCATGGTTAACCCAGGGACCCTCTACTTATGACTGGTGTCTGAAGTGTGGGGCAGTCATGTGGAACTGAGCCCTTACCCTGTTGGGTCTTCACTAATTCTGGAAGTATCCATGAAAACTGTAGGACACTGAGTTGATGTCTGCAGAGAACTGGAGAATCGTGTGAAAAACCAACACATTCAGTATCAAAGGTCTTGTGAAAAGCAGTTTTTCTTCACTACCAATAACAGGTGATGATACAGATACAATCTGTGATAACCCTATTTTCTCTATACTCAGTTATACTGTCCTGATGTCCACAAATAGATTCTGCTGTATGATTTATTGAAGAAATCACCTAGAAATGTTGAAATTGTTCAAGGATTCAGGGACTTTAGCTAAAACTGTTCAAGAATTCAGGGACAATAAATCCTTAACATGCAAAAAAAGAGACAGACCGAAACTTCAGATTTTTAAAAATCTGATTTCTAACTTTTTGAAGACTCAGAATGTTTGGCATTACTGGAACTGCTTTCCTGCCTATCCAGATTTGCTACAGCTGAGGCTGCCTTCTTTAGGTAGGGCATGCACTCTTCAATTCTCCATCCTCCCTACTCCTTGTTGTCACTCTGAGCAGCCTCATTCATCTGACTCTGAGGACATTTGAGTATCTCTGGGCCTGCATGGATGCTTATGAGGATTTGGAGTTGGCTGGTGATGTTTAAGTCTCATTTACTAGCAATTGCTTTTTGCCTGGAACATGAGAATCTAAAGGAACAGTGATGCTCCCAGTCCAAGTATCTTAAATAACTGTACCAAATTCAGAAAACCTCCAGTGGTTCATTCTAAACTAAATGAAGACTAACTTCTGTTCTAAGGAGCCTAGGGCCAGAGACAGCATTTGCCTTACAGAGCTCATAGGTGGGCATGGTAAAGAGGTGTGTGGCACTTGGGAGAGGGCAGAAGTTATCATGCCCTTGTCTTGCCTGTGTTTTCTGGTCCCTTTCTTACTACTTACTATTGGGCCTGCTCTTCTTCAGCTTCCTGAAACTTAGTTTGCTTGTTCAATACAAAAATTGTATTGCTTACAATTTTTTAAAGTGGTGAGAGATTCCCTTCTAAAAAGTATCTTGCAGCTTCCAGGATTTTCATCAGAGACCTTGAAAAGCACCAATGAGACCAGGAATCCAAGGCAGCCACCTTCCTTCAGGACCTGAAAAGTCATGTTTGTGGAAGAGTTTCAGTTATTACAAAATAGGAACCATGTAACATGCTATCATGTTGACACCATTTTATACTTATATGAAGGGAATCTACAGTAAATGCGATTTTCAACAGCTGAATAATATCCCATGTACACATATTTAACAATGTGATATGCAAAAAGCTTACTAATTTTAACTCCTTAGAGTACTACTTAGAGTACTACTGAGACTAAATATCTCTTCCTACTTTTTTTTTTTTAATCTGTTTAAAAGCTACCTGTTAGTGTGTCAAAATTACTTACCTTTAGATATTAATGTTTTAAGAGACAGGGTCTCACTGCCACCCAGGTTGCTAGGGCTGCAGGTACACACCACCATGCTTGGCTAATTTTTTAATTTTTTGTAGTGATGGGGTCTTGCTATGTTGTCCATACAGGTCTGGAACTCAGGGCCTTAAGCAATCTTCCTGTCTCAGCCTCCCAAAGCACTGAGATTAAAGGTCTGTGCCACCATGCCCAAGTACTACACTTTTATATCACAAATTTTACAAAAGTATTTCCACGTTTTGTGCTTTGTCTTTTAAACTTAAAAACAAAAACATACAGAAATATTTAGTTTCTAGTAGTCAATCTATCAGTATATACCCTGTGGCTAGTTTCTGGCTTTCATCTAGTATTTAGAAAGCTTTTCTCTATTGCATGAAAATAAAACACGTACTCAGATCTTTTTCCTTTTTTAAATAAATCTTTATTACTTTTCATCTTTTCAAAAGTAATGCATACTTGTTGTCAAAAATTAAACAAATAAATTAAGGTAGGTAAATATCTTTATTACGGGTTTTTCTATCCAAGAACAAGGCTTCTCTCTCTCTCCATTTATTCAAATTTCCTTTGTAAAGTGGCCCTCAGGTGAAGACTTAAATTTCTCCACACAAGTCCTCCATAACTGTTTATTTCTAGAAAATCTACTTTTCTTGATGCTACTGGGAATGAAATGTTTTCCTTCATTATATTTTCTAAGTCCTGTTGGTACAAAACAAAGCTATTTATTTTTGGATATTTCTCTTTAACTGGTCATCCTTTCCTGATTAAAAATTGAATAGAATAAAAACTGTTTCCATATGAAGACTCTGCCACATTGATTCCCTCTTGGGGGTTTTTCAATGGATGAATCTGATGATACTCGATCCATTTTGGCATTAACCTTGAGAGTTTTCTACATCTTTCTCATTATTAGGATTTTCCTTCACTATGGACACTCTGATGCTGACTGAGCTGGAAGCTAAACCTGAATGCTTTCCCACACACATTACACATATATGGTTTCTTCCAAGTGTGGACTGTCTGGTGTATAATGTAGTCAGAACTAAAGCTGAAGCCTTTGCCACATTCCACACATCTGAAGGGTTTCTCCCCAGTGTGGCTTCTCTGATGCCGAATTAAATGGGCATTAACATGGAAGGCTTTTCCACACTCCTTACACTGAAAGGGTTTCTCTCCAGTATGGATTCTCTGGTGCACAATATAGTTGGAACTACAGCTGAACGCTTTCTCACATTCCATACATTTGAAAGGTTTCTCCCCAGTATGTATCCTCTGATGCCTAGTTAGTTTGGCATTGATACTAAAGGCTTTCCCACATTCCTTACATTGAAAAGGCTTTTCGCCAGTATGGATTCGGTGATGATCAAGTAGGTTTCTTTTAGAAGTGAAGCATCTCCCACACTCATTACATTCAAAAGGTTTCTCCCCAGTGTGAATTCTCTGATGCCGCATTAGTTTCCCATTAACGCTGAAGGCCTTTCCACACTCATTACACTCATAAGGCTTCTCCCCAGTGTGAATTTTCAGATGCTGTCGAAATTGGGAGTTACACCTAAAGGCTTTCCCACATTCGTTACACTCATAGGGTTTCTCACCTGTGTGAATTCTCTGGTGTTGGATTAACTTCCCTTTGACACTAAAGGCTTTTCCACATTCAGTGCATTCATAGGGTTTCTCACCTGTGTGGATTCTCTGATGCTGAATGAGTTTTGTATTATTACTGAACCCTTTTCCACACTCCTTACACTGATAGGGCTTCTCTCCTGTGTGAATGCTTTGATGCTGCCTAAGCTGGGAGCTGCACCTGAAGCCTTTTCCACATTCACTACATTCATAAGGTTTCTCTCCAGTGTGGATTCTCTGATGTTGAATTAATTTTGCATTAACATTGAAAGCTTTCCCACAGTCATTACACTCGTAAGGTTTCTCCCCAGTGTGGACTCTCTGATGTGTAATATATGCAGAACTACAGCTGAAGCCATTTCCACACTCCTTGCACTGATAGGGCTTCTCTCCCGTATGAATTCTCTGATGCCTACTTAGGCTTCCATTAACACTGAAGGCCTTCCCACACACCTTACACTGATAGGGCTTCTCCCCACTGTGGATTGTCTGATGTGTGATATAATGGGAACTATAGCTGAAGCTTTTCCCACACTCCACACATTTGAAGGGTTTCTCCCCATTGTGAAGTCTTTGATGCCAAATTAATTTCTCATTAATGCTGAAAGCTTTGCCACACTCCAAACATTGATAAGGCTTTTCCTCAGTGTAGTTCTCTTGATGTTGACTAAGCTGAGAGTCACACCTAAAGGGCTCCACTAATTCTTCACATTTGAAAGCCCTTTCCTCAGAATTAATTATTTCATGCTTAACGAGTTTTATATCAAAGCTGATGGCTTTCCCCAGGCCTGTACACCCAGAGGGCTGCTCTACAGTGATTATATGAGACAGATATGAGTTTGGACTTTGACTAAAAAAACACTCCTCCATGGGGCTTGTCTCATCTGTCACTGTTCCATCAATGGTGTTGCTTTTTTCCTTCTTTATATTTCCTGCAGAGCAGACTTCCTGTTGTTTCTCTAGAAGAGAGGTTTCTAAAAAGCCTGTTTCCTGGGAAAAGTCCCTTTGAAGTTCAAATGATACATCCTCTTTCCCGTCATACATTTCCTCTGTGAAATCACTGTCAGTCTGAGTATCTACTATAAAAAACAGAAAACATAAAGTGTCATGCAAGAACCATGTTAGAAGAGAACTGTGCTATAAAAGATCATAATAATCAGGGGGCTCCCTAAAAATCATCGGACTAGTTCAAAGAACCTTGGGTTTCTCTATAAGGTGGGGTAAGTAATACGTAGCTAGTAAAAGAATACAATAAATCCATACATGCTGACAGAAAAAGACATCCAAGATACAATCAAATGGAAAAACAAGTTGAAAAACAGTATATAGATTTCCATCTGTATAAAGATATAAAAGGCAGATATATATATATATATATTTGTACATATCTAGAAAGCTTCTAGAAGAATCCACAAGAAACTAAACAAATTGGCACAGGAAGTTTGGTGGACTTGCTTCCCCTTTATATATTTTCTGTACTGTTCTGAGTATGTGTCAATATTATAAAGTAATGATAAAAAAAAATCACCAGTCTCAACTGTGCCTAATGCAATGCCACTGTAGAGAACATAACCAATCACATGAAGGTGAAAAGTGATGGCCGGGCGCCATGGCTCACACCTATAATCCCAGCACTTTGGGAGACCAATCCAGGTGGATTACCTGAGCTCAGGAGTTCACAACTAGCCTGGGCAACAAAGTGAAACTCCGTCTCTACTAAAATACAAAAAAAATTAGCCAGGTATGGTGACATGTGCCTATAGTTCCAGCTACTTGGAAGGCTGAGGCAGGAGAATTGTTTGAACCCAGGAGGCAGAGGTTGCAGTGAGCCAAGTTCATGCCACTGCACTCCAACCTGGGAGACAGAGTGAGACTCTTGCCTCAAAAAAAAAAGGAACAGCAGTGGAATAAAACTCTAGGTCTTGTCCACCAGATCAGCATTCTTTTCACCATACCATGCTTTTCTATACCCTGCAGTTTCCTCTTAGTTGTTCCTACAGCACTGAGTTCCTTACTAAAAAAAAAAAAATGGAAAATGCTGAAGAAGGGAAAGGCACAGGATCCAACAGGATGTGGCAACTTGGGGGATGACAAGAGTCAGCAGCATCAGGAAGCAAAATAGAAATAATTTTGTTTCCTTCCATTCTAAGGAAGGAAACTGTGGACCTTCCAAAATTCCTCCTTTGACTTCATTTCTACTTTACACAGGCTCTATTTAAGGCCCACTTCATCTTATCTCTTCCCATTCCCCTCCAAATACTGCTGCATTCATCTCGCCTTTTCCTTCACTTCTTCCTCCAAACCTAAACTTGATCATTCCCTAAAAGTCTTTCTACAATCCCAGTAGTCTTTAGAACTAGAACTACTGGTCTCTGCATTTGTCCCCAAATTTCTCAAAAGCTTAGCCCCAAAATGTTGCCTCACGTTGTTTCACCTTTCATTATTCCTCTACCATATGTAATATGCCCCCTCCCCAATATTTCATAATTGCCCTCAATAAACCCCTCCAATGGCCTGGATTCCCCAGCAAGCATTTTAAAAATAATATTGATCTTTTCTCAACTAAAAGAAATAATACTCATCCTTTGCTATAGGCTGAATGTGTCCTCCCCACAAATTCATATTCTGAAATTCTAACCCCTGATGTGATTGTTTTAGGAGGTAGGGCTATGGGAGAACCCTCATGAATGGGATTAATGCCCTTAAAAAAGACCCCAGAGAGCTCCCTTCCTTTCTACCATGTGAGGATACTGTGAAAAGATGGCTGTCTATTAGCCAGGAAGCAGGCCCTTGCCAGACAGAACCTGCCTGGATCCTGATCTTGGACTTCTCAGCCTCTAGAACTGTATGAAATAAATTTCTATTGTTTATAAGCCATCCACTCTATGGCAGTCTGTTACTGTAGCCCAAACTGACTAAGACATCTATACTATCACATGTCTAGTCATGATCTCTGGAATCTATTCCTGTTTTGCTGTACTCTCACCAACACTGAATATAATTTAATTATTCTCAATATGATAGGTAAAATATCTCTCCTTGTTTTAATTTGTATTTCACTGGTTTCTACTGAGGGTGGATATTTTTCACATTGATTTCACATCTGTACTTATGTGGACCAGTCACTTATACTGTTTGCCAATTTTTCTATACTGGTTACTTTCTATTTCCCACATCCTACTGGGTGGCAGATGTCAGTATCCATCTTCCCTTTTTTCCTTACGAGCACATCCTCTATTACTCTGAAGTCACAAAACTACATTTTCCTCTCTTACAGTGAGGATGGCCATTTGACACAGTTGCAGCAAAGGAAACAACAGATATCATTGGGTGGGCTTCTGAACATTTTTAAAAAGAAAGTCAACACTGCTGCCCTGGGCCTCAAGCCCTTCTGCCTGCCTAGAGCCTGTTTGATTCCTCATCCCAATTAACCTACACACATTAACTACAATGTTTCTATCCCCAGCTAGGAGCATGATGGGTGCCTGGAAAGGTCAAAGACTTCAGGAGAGTCAGCTGCCTACAGAATGAAATCCAGGCTCCTTCGATTAAGGACCTTGCAATATCACTTCATTCCCTGTATTTGTCAAACACATTATGTGGCAAACTCCCCATTTCCAAAACATGCCTTCCTTGGTCATGTATCATATGATAGAATGATCAAAAGGAATAAAAACCCATGGAAACCATCTAAGAAAAATGAAGACTCACTGAAAAAATGCAAGAGAATCTCACAGAACCTAAATGTAAGAAATAATAGGGGGCCTCAGGGGGATGAGAAGTCATCTGGCAGCTACTCTGCTGGCACCAATTAGAGCCCTGCTCCTTCAAGTGTGGTCTAGTAACTAGAAGTACTGGCATCGCCACCTCACCAGGGAACGTCACAGAAGTGCAGACTCCTGGCCCTGCTCCACACTTACTGTATATCTGTAAGATCTCAGAATTCATTTACACACTCACACTTAAGAAGCACAAATCAAGAACACTTCCTCCCTTCCACATTACTTTCCCCATGTACAGCTGTCTTCCCCCGCACCAAAGTAAAAATATTAAACTGAGCACGCACTATAAGCTAGGCACTTGATATGTGTTATCTCATTTAATCCTCAACCCACAAAACTAGTACTATTACCTCCTTTTATTACTAACCCATTTTCAGAGATAAGAACATGCAAATAACCCACTCAAAGTCACACAAACTAGGAAGCAGCACAGTTGGGAATGGATCTCAGAAAAGTCTCCTCTAAGACTGTGCTTTTAACCACTTCGGTCTGTGTGAAAATGCTGTTAATTCTGTATCCTCCACACTAAGTGAACAATGCTTAGAAATGACAGGAACCCCAAAATTGCTGAGTCCATTAATTTTGTCTGAGAAAGGCAGGATTGCAAAATTAGGATTGAAAAGAGTCGGAATAAAGGATTTGAAAAAAGATGTATTCTTGCAATTAGACATAACAAACTTTGACAACAGACAAAAAGGACTACCTATCTCTATGAATTACCAAAATTCACTCAAACTTTACTCTGTATGACTGGCCAATAAACATAGTATGTTTATACGTTACTAAAGTTGGCTTTCTGCCTGAAGTGCTAAACTCCAACAGAATGGGAAATATGTACCTCCCTTACCAGTCCAGAGGCCACGGAGGCCTGTTCCTGCAGCCAGTGGAGATGGGCCCCCCAGCTCACCTCCTCCCTCCAGCTGTGAGATCACAGCAGGTTTGAGAAGTGGAAATCCTGGTTTGGGAGAGGTAAACAGGAGAGACAGATGAATAATCTCCCACGGATAAATTCCTAAGTCTCTTCTCAGATTGTCTCAGCAATGGGAGGGAAGGTAAGAGCCCCAGGAGGTCCCAAGCCTAAGGACTATGGGAAAGTATGTGGGGCTTAGGAAGGACTAGAGACCTTGGATACTTCCAAGGACTTTGGGAGGCAAGTGTAGGGGTTGAGGGTTAAGGCTTGGGAAGGTGTGGGAGAGCCTGGGAAGGGCCCAGACTGTAGGCCTGGGAGACCGCATGCAGGGCAAGCAGGGAAATTCTTCCCAAAGGGATACCACTTTTTGACCTTGGCCTGAAATATCCAGAGTACACTGAGATCCTTGAAAAGTCTCAAGATAGGTAAGATAAGAGGGGACCTGAAGATGCCACCGTGGAACAGGAAGTCACTGGATTCCAGTGTTTCCAAAACATAGTAGCTACCATGGGTTGGATCAAGAGTGTATACCAATTCCAAGTGAAGTCCTATATAGGCCTACAAAAGGCTTGGCGTTTGCCCCTGCCAGCAACCCTTAAGTCTAGGAGGTTAGGAACAGCTCTGGGGTTCCCATTCAGTAAAGGATTATCAGAGATCCCACCAGTAACCTGTAAGGGAGAAGCAAGCCAGGAACCCCAACTGGCAGAGTCCAGGTTCCCAGGGGAGAGAGGTCTTACCCAGGGAGGCCACATTCCCATAATTCTCCAGCATCACATCCCTGTACAGGGTCCTCTGTGCAGGGGACAGGCCATCCCATTCCGCCTGGGTGAAGTACACAGCCACGTCCTCAAAGGTCACCGACTTCTGAAACAACAGGTTCCTGCTGCCCTAGGGCCAATTCCATGGCTCAGGCCCTAAGTGAGGGGCAGAGGGCAGTATAAGGGCTTGGGGAGGGTGCTTGTGAGAGCACAAAATTAATATTAACAAGGGAAAGATCTCAGAAAAAAACATCAAGAAAGTAAACTACAGGGTGCCATTTTTTACACAAAGAGATAACATAAGACAGGCTGACAGAGAAACATTTTCCATAAGCAAGTGCCTAAAGCCAACTCCACTCTTTTAGACAGGCTGCTCCCTCCCGGCAAGCTCGCAGCCAACCCACCAGCCGTTCCCACACCACTCCCCTGAGGTCTTGGCTCCCCTGAACCTAAACACAGCCCTGTTCTGCTCCCCCCATCATCCTCATCCTCACACCTCAAGCCACCCCTAAAGATCAGCCATGGCTTCTGTCTCACCCAGCCCCACCTGATTCCCCTCATAGACCCCACAACCAAGGGGCTGTGCAGCCTCTGCTTGAGCACCTCCAGCAAAGGCTGCTTCATGCTGCCCAGGATGCGGGGTCTCCTGGAAAGCCAGAAATTTCCTTACCCTCTCCCATTCAAGTCTCAAGTTTTACAATTCTCCAAAAACTTAACTGTTTCTCCAGGAACATTTGGGAAAGCACGGAGACTGGCCTTCCCACTGGCCAGCTACTCTCCCCTTTCCATCAGTAAGCTGTGTGGTTGGCACAAGCTCCACCACTTAGGGATGCTGCGTGTCACTCCCCAGCCCAACCACCCCTCCTGGGCAGCTGCGGCCTCTGCCAGGCTCACCCTCTGCTCACCTCAGCCTGCTCTAACAGCCATGGGGGCTACTGATAGGGATCTGCCGCTCAAACTCTCTCTGCCAGGAGGTGTCTTTGTGAGCCTACTGACCTCCACACATCAGCAATTCCAGTCAAACTCTTGGTGTTTCTGAGACTGCTTTGTGTGACAAGTAACTTCTCTGCACAAATGTAATGTCTTCACTGTGTGCCGCCACCACCACCCCAGCATGTTGGCACTTCCTTCTAAACTTACGCCTCAGCTGGGGCCAGAATCACCCGCACAAGAAACCTCGGCCAGAAATCTGGGGATTGTTCTTGACTTGCTGTCTTCCTTATCACCATTAATGCTTTGACTCTCTGTGTCCGAAAGATTTTTTTTTTTTTTTTTTTTTGAGATGGAGTCTCATTCTGTCACCCAGGCTAGAGGGCAATGGCATGACCTCAGCTCACTGCATCCTCTGCCTCCCAGGCTCAAGCAATTCTCCTGCCTCAGCCTCCTGAGTAGCTGGGACTCAGCTGGGATTCTTCTTTGTGAAGTGATCATCTTGCTTTTGAATCTTCCTTAAAAATTATTCCATACACATCACAAATCTGACCAAGTTAACATCAGCAGTTCCACAGCTGTCTTATGGCTGAGCAGTTCCGAATCACACAGTAACTCTGTGATCCTGGGAAAGTTATTCTACTTGCCCCAGATCACAGAGTTATTTGGTAGAAAGTAGACAACACAGCACTTATCACGTAGGGCAGCAGTCAGGACGGAAAGACCATACAAAGAGCTGAGCATGGGACCTGCAGCATAGTAAGCCTCCAACACTACAACTGGTGTGACTGTGGCTATATTGTTCCAACCTGTAGTCCATGGAAGTCCATGGATGAGCTTCAGGGGATCCATGAAGTCCCTGAAAGTTGTATGGAAAGTTTGGTGTGCAGGTTCATTTTTCTGGAGAAGGGGGAAAGCTCTTCTCAGAGACCTAAGTCTGCACACTAAGCCTTGAAAGCTTCACAAGAACAATGAGACATTCCGTCCCGTGGGACTCCCTGTCTTCCTTCTCCCTTGACTCCACTCCCTGGGACCTTCCCTTTCTCCTGAATTAGAGGCACAGCCATCGTTCTCTGATCTGGTCTTGCTATTCATCTTCCCTACATCCCCGCCACAGATAGCCCAATCCTCTACAGACTGTCCTCCATGCATAACCCTGCACAGAGCATCCCACGCAGGCGGCTTCCATGTCCCCATTCACCCAGAGCCCTATGCTGGGGGTGCTCTTGGACAGAGGAGCAGAGACCCTCAGTGTGCAGACCACCACCCTCCTGCTCTCCCACTCACTCTCCCACTGCCTCCATTTGCTACTATCTGGGTTTCTGCTGCCCTCCCTTCACACCACCTCTTTCCCACAAATTCCAGTTCAGGTGGAAGCAGCCATCATCCCAAGGCTCACCAGCTCTCCTTCTCAATTTTTTTCAATCTGACACTTCCCAGAGGAAAAGCTGAAGGACCCACAGCTCACCTGGGGCCAGGCTGTCAGGTGCATGGCTGCCATCCGCCCGTCTCCCTCTCAGAGAAGGGCTGGAGCTAAAGAGAAATAAAAAGAGGGACAAGTATGAGGCAAGCCACCCCCAAAAGAGCAACATAGCCCCTCACAGAAAATGCAAGATAGGCAGCTTACAGCCAAATGGGAGTGTGAACAGGAGCTGCCCAAGGAAGGAATGATCTGTTCACTGGCTCAATGCCTAGGACTTCAGGCTATGACACTGAAATTCACTGCCAGGAACCCTAGGACTTTATAATTCTGTCACATATCACACAAACAGAAGAGTGTATATATAAAATGTAAAAATAAACAAACAAAAATAAAAATAAAAAAGAAGAATGTATATAAAACCTGCCAGGCACTGTGGCTCATGTCTATAATCCCAACACTTTGAGAGGCCAAGGCAGGTGGATCACTTGAGCCCAGGGGTTCAAGACAAGCCTGGGCACAAGGCAAAACCCTGTCTCTACCAAAAATACAAAAATTAGCCATGGGTGGTGCCACGTGCCCGTGGTCCCAGCTACTCAGGAGGCTGAGGTGGGAGGATCACCTGAGCCAGGGAGGTCAAGGCTGCAGTGAGCCAAGATCACACCACTGTATTCCAGCCTGGGTGATGACAGTGAGACCCTGTCTCAAAAAAATAAAAAATAAAAATAAAAGAAAATGTATGCAGAACCTAAAAAAGAAAGCAGACAGTGATGTATCAACAATTCAGTTCAAGACATAGGACAGTACCAAGATCTTTAACTTATTTCTCTTTCTCAAAACAAGCATCATCCTCAGTATCACAACAAGAGAAGCTGGGCTGGCTGGGCGCAGCCCCAGTACACAGGCCTGGGGAGTCAGGCCCTAGGAAGGCAGCACCCAGAGAAGAGCACAGCTGCTCCCCAGAATCCTGCCTCATTTCTTCAAAGCTCTGAATGTCCTCAAGAATCCTAACACCTCTAGAGAGGTCTTCAGAAGACAGTCTCCTACATAGCCCAAGCTGTCCTTAGAAAGCTGAGCTGGAAGTTAGGGACCAGGCTGTCTCCCATTCTTTCCAGTCTTCTGATAGTGAATGAGCCAAGGCCTAGACTTCTGCCTCAGCTCCTGAGAGAGGAGATCACTGTGGCAGCCAGAGTCCCACGACGCAGCGCCTCTTGTTTATTATATTCAAAAACATGCGGACTGGTGATTTTCTGACTTTTACTGCTCCTACAGTCAGTCTTGAAATTACGTTTTCCTAAAATATCATCCATTTCTTCCAGGATTTCAACTTTACTAGTATAGAGCTGCAGAAAACACTGGTTCATGATTCTTTCCACTTCCTACATATCTGGAGCTAGTTTGCTTTTCCCACTTGTTCTTTTGAACATATGTGCTTTCCAGACCTTTTTCCCAGGGTTAGTATTATGGACTAAACATTTATGTCCCTGCCAAATTCATATGTTGAAGCTCTAGCCCCCAACGTGACTGTATTTAGAGACGGGCTTGTGAGGAGGTAATAAGAATAAATGAGGTCCTAAGGGTAGAACTAAAGGTCCTAAGGTTAAATTAGTTCCAACAGAGCTGGTACCTTTATAAGGAGAGACCCAGAGCCAATGCACCCACTCACTCCATGTCTCCTCCATGTAAGGACGCAATGAAAGGGCTACTGTCTTATGAGCCGGGAAGACAGCCCAGGCAGGAGCCGAAATCAGCTGGCACCTTGATCCTGGATTTCCAGTCTCGGGGACTGTGAGAGATAAATACATTGGTGAAGCCGCCCAATCTATGGTATTTTGTTATGGCAGCCCAGGCAGATTAATACACTTAGGCTGAGCAGTGGTTTACTTATTTTAATGTGGTTTCCTTTTATTTTCAAGGAACCAGCTTTTCCAGTTGAGCAACACTGCTTTCCTGTATTTGTTTTAAATCCACCAATTCTGCTGTCTTAGTTGGTTCCTTCAGCTCTGTAAGGGGCAGTTTAAGCACCACTCCAATCCTCTTGTTCGATCCTTAGTCCAGTTCTACAGAGGCTTTAGTCAGTTTTGAGAAGGTGCAACCTACCAGGATCTTCACAAGGACCTACACCACCTATGTCTGGTTCCTGCCCTGGGGCTTCTCTGGTATCCTATATGGGACACCTGTGGATACCTGCTGGGCCCTGAAATGCAGAGTGTTAACACCTGTGGGACCCCCTTGACCAATAGGGGACAAAAAACAATAGATAAATGTTTTCCCCTTCGGTCCCCCAGCGGTGTAGCCTTAAGACTCCAAGGCTCCTCAAAGACCCTGCAAAGCAGAGCCTGTTGAGGACCAAGTGTATAAATGCATCCTTGTATCAGCTCTCCCACTCTGTTTCACTCCCCCTGTCTTTCACTCTGCCCCTGTGATCACATTCCCAAATAAGTTCCTACATACAAATCTTTGTTCCATGTTCCGCTTTTGGGGAAACTTAAGACTACAAAGGCTTTTTTCCTACCTTCTTGAGGTTGCATGACTTATTTATTTTCATTCTTTCCTGTTTGGCAATTAAAACCTATAAGGCCACAAATTTTCCTCAGAATACACTATTTGCCACATTCCAGAGGTTTTTATATTTCACGTTTTAATTACTATTTTATAGTCAGTTAGCAATTCTGTTTTGTCTCTCACCTAGTAATTGTTTAGGATAATTTGCTCTTGTTAATTTCTTCTCTGTTCATAAGTTCTGGCTTTATTGCATGATGACTATACAACCCAATCTACTAACTTCTACTTTCCACATTTTTCAGGATTTTTGTGACTCAAGTATCCATTTAAAAATATATACTATCTGGTGTTTAAGGAGAAAACTTATTCTGTGATGGGAGAATATATAACTCCATTTTTAGGTAATAAACCGATTCTACCAATTACATATGTGGTGTGATGGATACCCCACTCAGGTAGTCAAGGTTGTACAGTCAAGGGTGTACACCTGCTGCCTGAACTTTGACGGCCAGGCAGTGAGCCAAGACCACAGGGCTCAGCAGAGGAGCAGGTGTTTGCAAGAATGCAAACCTTCTAAAGAGTGTATGAGAACCTACCAAGAAAAGTCTCGTTGTTTAAATGCAGTAGGCAAACAGCCAGAAAATTAGCTTAAAAGTACTTAGAGACGAGGGGCACCACAGAGCTCTAAAGCTGTCCTGCTGCCATTCAAGAGTAAGTACATAAGTCCTAATAAATTCATCCACTTGCCAAGCTGGACTTGTCCAAAGCATTCTTTGGTCTCCTGGCTCCCTCCCAGTTTAGAGGAAGGTTTTTAAAAATATGATTCCAGGTTTTTTCTTGTTACAACATTGTATAGATTTTCTACATATCCTAATTACTTTTACCTAATTAAACCAAGACAGCCAGTAAAGAGCTAACTCTCACAAAACACTGAGCTCAGATGTGTCATGAGCAAATCCATTCACATGTTTCAGAAATGAGTAATTCTAACATGACGTAAACTGTAGCAGAGCACAGCAAAATAAGTTTCCCAATTCTTTTTGTGGTGCCAGCACAATACTGATACAAAAACTATAGACCAGTCTCATTTATGAATTCTAATGAAAAAATTCTATCAATAGACTCCAGTAGTTCATTAAAGTAATACATCATGAGTAAGTAGGATTATCCCTTGAAGATAAACCAAGCTCAATGTTAGGATACAAATTAGTGTATTTTTCATATTACTAAATCAAAGACAGATAAACACATTGTCCATCTCAACAGATGCCAAAGGTATTTAACATAATTCAACATTCATGCCTAACTTTAAAAACTTACACCCTAGAGAAACTCTCATATGTAGGAGGTACGTACAAAAATACTCATTATCAGCATTATTTTAACAGCAAAACACTCAAAACAACCCATATGTCCATTGAAAATACATCGATAAATTTTCATACAGTTTTTACAATGGAACATTACCCCGAAGCTACACAGAATGAATTTGGGAACATAACATTGAATTATGCGAGTCACTGATGACTTATACACACAATGGTGCTATTTATATAAAGCTCAAAAACAAAAAAGGCTAAGTACATTGCTTACAGATACATGCATATGTAATTATCTTTTAAAATAATAGGGCTACAATTAACACAAAATTCAAGGCAACTTTTACCTCTAGGGGTGGGAGACTGGGAGTTGGAGTGAGGAAGAGAAACACATTGAGAAATTCAGCAGTACTGGCAATGTTCTGTTTCTTAATTGAGTGGTGTGTTCATGGATGCTTTTTACTACTATATAACATATAACATACAAATATGTATTTTTTAATAAATATATAAACCAGCAAAGATAGGGTGAAAGTAAGGACCCAAAATGTAATACAAAGAACAGCCAGTGTGGCTAACTATACTACAATGAACATAACCACATTTAAGTGGTAGGAAAGAAAAGAAGTAAACAACTTTGGAAAACAGTATTTTGACTAAAATACCCTAAGATTAAAGACAAAAAGACCTGTATCCAAGTACTGTACTTTAGGTAGTGAATTTGCTTTTCATGGGGGTATGAATTAACAATTCTGAAACTACTAAATATATTCTAAAACTGAATTCGTAATCAAGTTGTAGACGTCATTCCCAGGTCACTGTCACCCCAGAGCCAAGAGAAGTAGGGCTGAGTTACCTTTTGGGACTGACACTGCTCCAGGAGACAGTGTCCTCCAAAAGCCGGGCTTCTTCTGCTGCCGGGTGACTGGGAGGGGCTCTGCGCTCCCACTCGGCCCTAATTCATGCCCCAGTGTCAGAAGCCTGGGAGCACACGGTCCATACTCGGGATGCACATAGGCTAACGTTCCTGCCAAACCTCAACTCGTCAAAAGACTTGCAGTATCATCTAGGGCCGTTTCACGCCCACAAATATTCCACCCTTTAGCTGCACCACACATCTTCCCCCAGCAGACCAAGTGCTAAATGCCCGGGGCCTCGTGGCTGTGACAGCAACACAGGTTTCCCCTTCCAATGGGTGCAACCTATTGGGCCACAAAGACTAAAGCTGGAGTCGAGGAGCGCGAAGGAGCAGCCCGGGCCGCCTCCCTGCTCCCTCTCCCAGCCTGGGC